TGAGTCAGGCCTGAAGGTTCTCTCCACCCACTGCTACTAGGTTAGTCTGTTCACCTCCTCCAGCCTCCCAGGTTTTGCCTGTAATTTAAAGGGTTAGACTAAATGACCTCTGAATATCCTTTCTAAAGCCTATGATTATACAGAAGAAAGAATGATATAACTAAAAGCAAAAACGTAATCATGTCAAGTATGGATCATGGATAAGAAAAATGGATTAATTTTAGAAACGTCACAGAAAGAGAAGATAGATTGTTCCTACTCTGGTGGTGTCTTTTGTTTTAAATTGTATTCTAGTTCAATCTCTTTGGAGGAGAATTTGGCCATATTCTAAAATGTACTTCTTTTGACCTAGCTTTTCTAATTCTAATAGTTTTCCCTTAAAAAAAAGAATATCACCTAGAAAGATATTTATTCTAATTTTATGATATTGAGACATTGAAAATAATGTCTTGTCAGAGGACTTGTTAAATAAAATATGGTAATAATATTTTATTCAATGGAAATCAACTATTTCATATAATAGTTCTGAGTGACTAATCATAAAAGGTGTGTAGTTATTGAAATGTATGTAGAACTGTAATCTGTATTTATGTATAATGTATATGGGCTCTGAGGCTTGAGGGCTTGGATTGAAATCTTGTCTCCATCACTAGCTAGCTTCATGTCACCTAAGCTAGGTGTTTTGATTTCCTGTTGCCTTTGGAACATATTTCCACAAACTTACAGGCTTGAAATAGCATGAATCTGTTATTCCTTTTTATGATGTTTTGTGTGTGTGTGTGTGTGTGTGTGTGTGTGTGTGTGTGTGTGTGTTTGCAGATGTGGGCATGCACATATGGATGTCAGAGGACACATTGCAGGAGTTGGTTCTCTCCTTCTACCATGTGGCATCCAGGGATCCAACTGAGGTGGTCAAGCTTGGCAGCAAGTACCTTTACCCACTGAGTCATCTTGATGGACCAGAATCTGTTATCTTACAAGTTCTGGTGATCAGAAGTTCAAAATGAGTTTCACTGTGCCAGAATGAAGGTGCCAGGCCACACTCCCTCCAGAGATCCAAAGGGACAACCTGCTTCACCCTTCCTAGAGGCCTCTTGGACACCTTGGCTATAAGCTGGGAAGCCATCACTCCAACCTCTGCTTTTACCATATCCCCTCCCTCCTCTGACCCTTCTGCCTCCTCAGAGAATGAGCTTTGTGGTTATACTGGGTTCACCTGGACAATCCAGAATCATCTCCCCATCCATGCACAAGACCTGTGCAAGCTCAGGCCAGACAAAAAAGGGGGTTTCGGAGGTGGGCAAGAAGCACCAACCCTGGGGAACTATTGGCAGTTGATAGCTGCTGGGAGAGGGAGAGTTGATTTTCTTTAAGGGTGTGACAGCAGGTAGGTTGACAAGGCTCCAGGGGATGGACCCACACTTAAGAGCATTTGAAGAAGACAAATCAGACTCAACAATTAGCCTTAAGAAATAATACTAGAGGACATGAAGTCGGGGAAAGGGTGGAGGGGACAGATATGAATATGATCAAGATACATTATATAAAATTCTCAAAGAATCAACAAAATATATGTTAAAACTCTTTTATGTAATGTTTTATTGATTCTTTGAGAATTGCATACATGGATACAATGCATTTTTAATGTATACACTATTCACCCCCACGTGCTTGTCTAATTGTTTTTACTCTCTAGAAGATCAATTAGGTCTTTACCTTTTCTGTAGGGTGCAGGTGAAGGTACACTGGGGCTACAGAAGAGTAATTGAAAAATGATGGAAGATCTCTTGGTGCCTGGGAGTGGAAAAGGTTCAATGTCAGGGCCTGGGTACTCAGGACCACGTGTGGAATCAAGGCCTTAGGTGGCCATTAAAGGAGGTGAGAAGTCTGTTCTTGAGAATCAGTCCTCCCAAGACTAGAAACTGCAAATGACAGAAACCTCCCCTGTTCCCATCATAAGTCTAACACAAGCAAATCCACCACCATGCATAACTTGGGACCTTGAGGGATAGGGTTGTGGGGGATGCAGCCACTCAGAGAAGTCTAAAACTGCTGCATTCATCACCCAATCTGCTCTATCATCAGCCCACCACCAGAGGAATGTGGAACCATAGCTCATGATTGGGGAAATCACAGCTCCAGTTCACAGAAGGGGAACACAACTCTGGCTCACAGGAGGGGACCACAGCTCTAGCTCACAGGAGAGGATAACTCTGGTTCATGGAAGGGGTCCCAGCATATATATAAGATTCTCTTGGGGCTAGAAGGATGGCTCAGTGAAAAGCACTGGCTGCTCTTGCAGAGGACCTGGGTTCCATTCCCAGCACACACATGGCTATTCAGAACCATTCACAACTCCAGTTCCAGAGGATCAAATACCATCAGAGGTAGTGCACTTACATGCAGACACTTACATAAAGCCATACACATAAAATAAAAATAAAACAAAAACCTTAAAAAGATTCTCTTGATACTGCCACAGTAGCCATCACTGGCGCTTTGCCTTGTAGACATTATTACACTAATGCTGAGGTATCTGTAGGGTTAGAGTCCTTTCTGAAAACTCTGGGGGAGAACCCACTTTCTTCCCTTTTCAGTCTCTGGAGGCTGTACCATTCCTTGGTCTCTGGTTGAATATCATCTCTCACTCCCCTGACACTGACTATCCTGCCTCCCTCCCTCTTCCCTTGTGATTACCTTGGGCCCAGCCAGGTAATTGGGGATAATGTCCATATTTTAAGATCAGATAATTAGCAATCTTCATTCCACCTACTACCTTAATTCTCTTGTCATGTAACATAACTGTTCTGGTTTGTTTCTTCATTGCTGTGACAAAATACTCTGACCACTACCAACTTGGGGAGGAAAGGGTTTATTTATCTTACATATCCCAGGTCACAGTTCATCCGGGAGCTGAAGGTAGGAACTCTGGGCAGGAACCTGGAGGCAGGAGCTGGAGCACAGGCCATGGAGGAACACTGCTTACTGGCTTGCTCTCCTGGCCCCTGCTCAGCCTGCTTTCTTATGCAACACAGACCAACCGGCCCAGGGGTGGCACCACCCACAGTGGGCTGGGCCCGCCCACATCATTCAACAATCAAGAAGATGCCCCACAGACATGGCCACAGGCCAGTCCAATAGAGGAAATTCCCCAATTGAGGCTCCCCCAACCCAGGTGTGTCAAGTTGACACTGAAGCTATCCAGCACAATAACATAGTCAAAGTTTCCTGAAACAAAGATTCGAACACTTCCAGGCATCATGGCACATGTCTTTAATCCCAGCACTTGGAAGTCAGGGCAGGCAGCTCTCTCTGAGTTTGAGGCCTCATACGTAATGTGAGGGAGAGGTACAAATATTTTGAAAGATCTTTCTACTTCTAAATGCAATGCTTCTAAAAATTTCAAAGTTCAACAGATAAATAGTAACAACAACAACAACAAAAACCATTGTCTTCTATAAAAAGAAATTCTACAATAGGAAAAAAGACAGCCCTATAGAGAAAAGTGACAAAAAGTCATGAAAACGCATTGCAAAGAAGAAAAACAAATGGCAAATAAGCATAAATAAAGATTCTAAACTCTGCTAGTAACAGGAAATCTGAGTCAAGATTTCACTGAAGTCAGCGTGGTGGGGTGGCACATGTCTGCGATCCCAGAACTCGAAAGGCTGAGGCAGGAGGATTATAAATTTCAGTTCAGCTTAGGCTTCATGGTGAGACCCTGTCTCAGAAAAGAAAAAAAGACATTAGTCAAATGTTTTATTCTCACTAGATTGGTTAAAATTCACAACATAAACAGATGATGCAAGTCAATAGCACTAGAAGTCTATTCACACAGTGGATATACAGCAACAGAAGTGAACGGCCTCTCTCACATGATTATGATGGAGCTTAGAAGCATCATATTGGAGGGTGGAGCAAGTACCCACAGACATGATGCCACCTTTATAAAGCCCAACCATGAGCAAAACTAAATATGTATTTAGGCATTTATAACGTGATGAAAAGCAGGGAAATGGCAGAGAGAAGCCTTAGGAAAGTGGTTATTGGTAGGTGAAAAGAGGATGAGGAGAGAGCCCAAAGGCAGATGCACTGGTAATGCTTTAGTTCTACAGCTGAACAGAACACTTAGGCTCCCAAGTGTTCACTGTATTATACCTCACAAATTGCATTTGTGGGAGGAGGTTAGTTGGAGCACATATACCCAACATCCAGTATTAACGCTTACCCGTGGATATTGGATGCTACAGATACTCAAGGATTGGGTGAAGTGCTAAGTTTTTAACATTAACTAGTTAAGATCCTTAATCTTTTACAGACCATATGCAGGAGGTCTTCAGTTTGGGCAACAAAGATTTATGTTTTCACATTTTAAAACCGTTTTGTGGGGGCTAGAGGAATGGCTCAGTGGTTAAGAGCGAGTACTGCTCTTGCAGAGGACCTGAGTTCAGTACACAGAACCCATATCGGGTAGGTCACAACCACCTCTAACTTCTACCACTACCCCCTCATAATTAAAAAAAATTCTAAAAAGCTTTTCGTAATGAAAAATTGCCAAAATTCAAAAGAAAAACAATCTAGTCCAATGCTGGCCATGATGGGGCATGCCTTTAATCTCAGCACTCTTTTATCTCAGCACTTGAGAGCCAGGAGCAGGTGGATCTCTGTGATCCACCAAGCCAGTCTGGTGTACATTGCAAGCTTCAGGCTAGTCAGGGTTACATAGTGTGACCCTTTCTTAAAAAATTTAAATCTAGGGGCTGGAGAGATGGCTCAGTGGTTAAGAACACTGACTGTTCTTGCAGACGACCCATGTTCGAATCCCAGCACCCACACGGCAGCTAACAACTGTCTGTAACTCCAGTTCCAGGGGATCTGACAGCCTCTTCTGTCCTCCACGGGCATTTCACAACACAGGTGTACTTACCTATATGCAGGCAATACACGTATACACATAAAATAAAAATAATAAATAAAATATTTTTTAAAAAATCTAGCCTGTGTTGGCTTCAGCAGCACATATACTAAAATTTGAACAATACAGAGATTAGCATGGCCCCTGCACAAGGAGGATATACAAATTCGTGAAGCGTTCCATATTTTTTAAAAAAACACTAGCCCAAGTATAGTATAAAATAGATGTAAAATTATATAGGGAGTATAAAAAGCCATCACTCACCACCAGTCTCAGTAATCACTAACCTAGAGACATTCATTTGCATTCCCCCAGCCCCCTTCCAGGAGTATTTTGAAGTAAACCCTCCATATCATGGTATGAGGATGTGCTCCCAGGAGAATATTATCAACCACACTAGGGACACCATTAAGATATTATCAAAAGTTAGTTATTTTAATCAAAAATATGAGAAGGTTCAAGTTCTTCACATTTGAATTTTCCTTTAAATTTTCAGTGAGGGTTTTCCTGGACAAGGTTCAACACAAGAGAAAGTAGTACAAGGCTGTATAGCTGTGAGGAGGGGACCTGCACTTCATAAGGTCATTCCTCCAGTCATACCATCAACAGAATATTGAAAGACTCAGTGAAATAGCATCAGTCCTAATGTAATCAACTAGTCCTTACAATCTGTCCTTTATAAAGTGCTTATGTTATCTTCCTAAAGCCTACCTTCATCTTTGTTTTAATAAACTTGAGTGTCTCCTGTATGCAAGGCATTGATTCAAAGATGGACCAGAGTTGAATTCTGTTCTGTAACAATGAAATTGGTCTTTGTCTTGGGTTCCTAGTGGTAGGCAGGAGTATTTTCATTGTCCATGGTGGGCCACTTGACCATCCCTGAGTTAAGGATAATGAAATGACTTAGAATGAAGACTATTCACAATGGAAAGATCAGCCATATGAATGGAGAGTTGAGGCTTAAAGTTGTGTCAGACAATCCCCACTTCCAGGTGGGGAGAAGGGCTAGAGATTGAGTTCAATCATGGCAGCAGTGGTTCGCTCCATCATCCTATGTAATGAAACCCTGTGATGGTTAATCTGATTGTCAACTACATAGGATTTAGAATTACCATGGAAATGAACCTCTGGCATGTCTGTGATGAATTTTCTAGAATAGGTTCATTAAAATGGGTAGACCACTCACTGTAAACGAGGAGGTACCGTTCCATGGCGGGAGTCCAGGACTGAATAAAAGGGAGAAGGGGAGCTGAGCGGCATTCATTGCTCTCTGCTTCCTGATTGTGAATGCAATGTGATCAGCTGCCTCGTCTTTCTTCCACAGTATCTTTCCTGCAGTGATGGACTGTATCCCCTCTTGAACCCTGAGCCAGAATAAACCCTTCCTTAAGTTGCTTTTGTCAGCCATTTTGTCACAGCCATGAGACAAGTAACTAATAGAAACCCCAGTTAAAACTTTGGACACCCAAAACTTGAATGAACTTCCCAGTTTGTGGACATTACAATGTGTCCAGAGAACACATGTCTCAAGTCTACTCTTGGAGGACATGAAAGTTCTGAATTTGAGACCATGGCTCTAGGTGTCTCTGCATTTGGCTTGCCCTGTCCAAGTTTGTACGCCTTATAATAAAACTTTAATCATAAAACAGCACTTTCCTGAGATCTGTGAGTGTTCTAATGAATTATCAAGGCTGACAGGTTCATGAGAACTCCTGAGTTGGTAGCAATTGATTAGAAGTACAAGTGGCCTGAGGATGTGGCTCTGATATGCAGCTGCTGTCTGATTCTGAAGTGGTTTTCTTGAAGATTTTGCTGAAGATTTGCATTAGCTCTGGGTGGTTAATGTCAGAATTGCATTGGAGTATTGCAGATACTACTTTCAAATGCTTATAGATTGTAGAGAGAATTCATAATTGCTTAAAAGCAGCATAAAGTGGCCTGTTAAAAGAATTACTAAAGGAAGCCAGAAGAAGGAAAGAGAACTTGCCTCTTGCACTCTAGCAGAAGCCCAGGGAGCCTTGCTTGGAGCCTTTGAAGATAAGTGAGATTGAACATATGGAAGTTATAGTAAAACATGACATTTATTGAGTGCTTATGTAATCAGTTAACATACACAGTCATGTTAGTAATACAACTAAGATGATTAACTTGTAAAGATTAAAGATTTATTTGGGCTCATGGTTTCAGAGGTTTGTGTCCCTGATAGGGTGGACTCGAAGCTTTTAGCTCTCTGGTAGGAGTGCCAGAGGGCAAGCACAGGCAGTTCATGGTAGAGCAGAGTGCACAAATCACATTGAGAAAGCAAAAGAACAATACGAAGGGTCAGGACCCCCAAAGCCTTTTTGAGTGCATGCTCACAATAACCTAACATCCTCTCACTGGGTCCCACCACCTCCCAGGAGTACCACTCTGGGAGCCGACCCTTCAATACATGGATTTTCAGGGGTCATTCAACATCCAAACTATAGCAAGAGTTTTGTGAGGATGCACGAATACTGTCCCTCTTTTACTGGCAGGTAAACTGAGGCATTTAGCAATACATCAACTTTCCAGAAACTATACAATGGGATTTTTAACCCATAAAACAATAGCCAATGCCTACTCTTAACATTCTATTGCTCTTGAAGTGGAAAGACCATTCCAGGAGGAAGGGAACGCACTGCTATAAGCACAGGGAAATGGAAATGACATCAGATGGGTGGAGCCACATGGAAGACTGACTTTGCCTTAAAAGTCATCGAGGAACCAAAGATTCCTAGGGTTGGAGCTTTGTAATGGGCTTCTGGACTTTAAGACTCCTATGATGTGAAGGATTACCCTTTTGAAACATGATTGCACTGTCCATCCAGACAGTTCTTTTCCCTCCTGATGGACACATCACTTTCTATCTGTGTTCACATTGTGGTGTATACACTAGAGAAGCCAAGGAGGAATGACGTCATTCTTGGCTTTTAATCTCCCATGGAAATTGGCTTAATGCACACTGTAGGTACATGAGGCTTTGCTGAATAAGGGGGTATTAGACTGTACACAGCCATATCAAATCATTGATATTTGACTCTTTTGACCTACAAAATAGCAATTTATTATAGTTTCATCCTGTTTTAAGAGTTATATTACAGTCATGACATAGATGCATGTGGAAATTCAAGTATATGTTGTGAGAGATATTAAAGTAGGAATTGGAAACTATAAGTAACAATTCTTTGCTTATAAATGTATTAGTGATACAAATGAAAAGATATAAAAGCCTTTCTATAGGTATCTCTATGAGGACAATGTCCATGCCATCTGATTCTGCTGTCAAATCAGAAGTCGAATTCTATTTGAGATGTGTTTATAAGGTTTGAGATAAATCTCAGTACAGTAGATCCAATATGTAAGGAGGAGACAGAGAAAGGAAGAGGAGATGGAGAAAACAATTCAATAAACTTTATCCAGTAGTTGACAGCAGAATAAAGTTTCATGAGGATTCTTTTCCAATAGGCAAGAAAAGGTCATTTTTAGACTTCAATGAAGAAGTCAGGAAATTTTTAAAGTTTGGTAGGGGTTACATCAGAGATGCTACCATCAATCAAAGGTCAAAGGATGAAGACAACATGCCAGTGTCCTTTTCTTTCTTTCTTTTTTTTTCTTTTTTCTTTTGGAGACAGGCTCTCCCTGTAGCCCCAGCTGACCTGGAACTCACTATGTAGAAAAGGTTAGCCTCAAACTCACAGAGATCTGCCTGACTCTGCCTCCCAAGTACTGGGATTAAAGATGTGCACCACCACGCCCAGTGCCAGTGTCCTTTTCAAAGCAAAAGAATTGTCTGTCTGCACTCTCTTGGGCCCCTATGAGTTCCCTCACTGAACTCATGGTTAGTTGTACACAGGGCTAAAAGTCAAAGCTACATCCCAAAGGGTGGCCATCACCTGGGCAACTTAATCAGAGGAAGGGGACAAATGACCTCAACAATGTAAGTCAAGGGTGCAGCACACAGACCAGATGAAGCAGTATCCTCCTACCCCACTTCCAACAAGGAAACTTCCACTTGGGAACTTAGAGTGAACCCAGCTCCCAATCCTGCCCAGTAAGTCTGCCTTATTCATAGGTTTGTAACTGATCAAGAGAGTATAAGGCAGCTTATTCTTAAAGCATCTCAGACCTGTTTACTGACTCTTCTGAAACAGCCCTACTCCTGGGGAAGATTTTTCCTAAAGATTCTATACAAAATAGAGTACTCTAAACCACTTGTTCAGTGGAGATCACTATTCCCAGCTAGAGGAAGTAGAGGAGCAAGACTTGGGAGAATCCTGTGGCTATACACTGAGGGTGCTGGCTCCCAGGGCCTGAAGATAAGACAAAACTGAGGTGAAAAATTGTCTACATAATGAGAAAAAATCTTGATCAGATGTACTTTACATTTACAAATCATAGGGACATTCCATTGAAAATCTCAGGCTATAACAGTTTCCTGATACAGCTTCATAACCAACCAGTATTTGTTTGAATCCTCAGGCACTGATGGTATAAGTACTCTCTGTCTGGCCTACTAATACTCTGCTAATAGTGTACAAGCCCTCTTCCCAGAACTTTTGGAAGCTTCATCTGCCACTGCCACCCACCTTCAGAGAGCCACACATCCATCCTCACTATCCTTTAAATCCTTACATTTGGGATACTGTGGAGATAATGGGACATCTCTGCTAGAACTCTTCTTTATTCCAGGCTCTGCTCTGATTCTCAAAGTTTGCCTTACAAGGAAAGAGAGATTCTACTCTTGAAGCTGGAACATCTTCTGGGGATTCACAGTAGCTGTGGATAACATGGCAGCCCCTGCCTGGCACCTGAGTCCATGATTTAACTCTCTCCCTGTGACCCTCCTACTCTAACAGGAGGGATAGGCTGTTTCTCCTGCAGTTCCCCTTGATGGGAGACATCAGATAGCCTCATGGACCCCTAGAAAATCCATAGAAAACAGGCTTTTATAGAGAAGCTCTTCGAACCCTCATCCCTAATTTTCAGCCTACCTCCTGTCTTATCTTTCCACTCTCCTTTAATCTAAAAGGTCTGGCCAAGTGACTGTTTGACCTTTATAATTTACTCCCCGTGCATACCCCTTATTTCCTTTCTTCAGCACTAAACTTCTCTTCTTTAACTTTAAAATAACAATGTAGCCACTACTTCTGGAACTGTGTGGAATGACA